GTCCCAGGTTTTCGTTCGACATATTGAACGATGGATAATAGGATTCTTCCATACCTAAACATTAAATAAATTTAACAAAATGGTACAAATAATTATCATTCAATATTTCTCATTGAAAAAATGAAAATCGTTGATTTCTTAAAGCATTTAATACATTTAAATTTTTACCATTTTTGAAATCATACAACAAAAATTACAAAACTTTCACAATATAAAGAATTAAACTTATTAAATAAGAAAAAAAATCTCTTCAATGACTATTAAATGAAATTGATGATTTGTATGTCTTTAATTGCTAAAGTTTTAAACATATCATGTCTTCTACAAATATGCAAAAAAATATGCAAAAAAAAGACAGATTTTCTTGAAATAAAATGTAATAATAGTTATTTTTCTCTATATTTCTTTAATCAAATTAAAGTATCAATATTTGTGTACATTGTTCTCACGTTTTCATTAATATTTCAAATGTGGACAGTATTGATAATTAACATTAATTCATACATCTAAAATGAGATACTTTGTACGTAATACTTGTCAAATAAGGAATAACTTAACTACTTATGAAATGAACTGGTAACCAACATTTATTACTTCTTACGCAATATTTGACAAGAAGTACAGAAATACCTCGCATAGTGCGTGTAATCGGCAAATATCCGCACTGTTTAAAACCGGACTAATCGAGAACTTTTAATATGCATAAAAATAAACAGCACACAAAGAGACTAAAGAATACATAGGTTTGTGTACTATTTTTTTAGAATTTATTTCGTTTTGAAATTACAAACCGTGCTATAGTTAATCCGCACCGATCGAAGCCGCGCTATGCGAGGATTACTATACTTATAAAAGTAACTGTGATAACCATAGAGACTACAAACACATATTACGCTAAACTTGACAAGTTACTTAGTGCAAGTATATTGCAGCTTATGTAATACATATTAACAAACCGTATAATAAACAAGATAATTTACAAAACGCTTGAAAACGATTATCTAATATGAAATAGTTTTTTTAGGTTATGCTAACTTTTATATGGATAATTGAGTAAATGTAATTAAATACGTAACTTGAAACTGATTCTAATAAACTTACCATGATTCGAAAGCATCCTTAAGAAGATTATTCACGATTCACTAGATTCTTCAGCGTCCGAAGCTCAGCGCACTTCTTACAAGAATGCCGGTGGTGTTACACAACCTCGGCCAATAGGAAAAGAGCTTTCATATCCATACAGTCCTGAGTCATCAACATGTTGTCGATTAACTCGGACTTAAGTTTATTCTTACAATCCTATTGTTTACAAACAAAATAAACGCATACCGATGTTAAAATTCGCATGTTTATATTATTATCGCGATAAGCCTCATAATTTTCACGCGATAAACGATTGTTTTCTTTAGTATAAAACGTCTGCACGTGAAGCGAAATAATTCGATAAATCAACATAATAATTTTAATTCTGCGAGAGACTAATTACTAAATTAAACTGTTCATGCTTTAAGACAAAGTCGTATGAACTAAATTTTTAACAGCAAAAACGACTCTATTCAACTTTAGACGATTATTTGTTTTTCTTTTGTATTTGTCGGATCATTGCATTGAAAGCATGTGTAAATAAAATAAACGGTGAGTTTAGATTTTGTTTAGTTTACATTTCAGCAAAATCTACTGAATCTTAAATAAATATTATTAAATATCTTTATTGGTTGCAACTATAACCAAGGGACTGAAGTCTTTTTGATATATAAAAAACAAATAGTCGACAGTAATTACTTTCAAATAATTAATTCTAAAACTTTATTTGCTAAAATTCACTCATTTATTTATAAACCAAAGATTTACTTTATTCTCTGTTTATTAAATATTAACTTTCATTTTTGTGATTTTTCTTTTGATTTACCCAGGACCGGCTCTAGAGATTGTTATTATTTTGATAGTTTTCTTCGCTTATCTTTGAGTATTATTTAAGCTGCAGCAAAAGCCGCTCCTTAGTCTTCGCTTATCACAAAACCAACTACTTAACAAATCTTATCGTTTCTTCTGCCTTTTGCAATTCGTTCGTTTGTAGCAACTTATTTATTGAGCAATTTGCATAGCACATTCTTAGAATAAAATATAAATATATGTAAAATTAATATAAAAATACACAGTAAAATATAATATAATAAAGATATAATATAAAATAACACAGCATATTTCGTCCTTGCTTGCTATGCTTGTTCCTTGTTTCTCGAGGAATTTGGCTTCCCGACCAAACGCGCACCAACATTCGGCGCCTTCCTCTGCGATAACATCTTCTTCGCTGCGTGGTCATGGTAGGCCTTGTAGAAACATTCGCCTCTCTGTGCTGCTTCTCAAGGTGGTGTGCAAATGACAGCAGTACCAGCAATGCTGGGCTGTATCCTCCTCTTCACCACAGGCACAATCCGAAGACTCAGTTTGCTTCAACCTTCGGTAGTGTCTAAATTTGCCATGCCCGTTATCAATTGCACTTCCTGGTGAGTCCAGACACCAGTCTCAGAGCTGCTCCACCTTTTTTGCCAAGCTTCTGCCGAGTCGCGAGAGATTAGCGACTTGAGTGTGCTCATGGAGTACTCAGCGTAATTGATGGGAAGAAGACTGGTCGTTTGTAACTCCGATCGGTGGCAATCGCAAGCCCGACAACCGAAATCCCGTCTATCGAAATCCCGACGTTCGAAATCCCGATGTTCGAAATCCCGAGTGTATTGAAATCCCGACGTTCGAAATCCCGTCTATCGAAATCCCGATGTTTGAAATCCCGACGTTCGAAATCCTGAGTGTATTGAAATCCCGACGTTCGAAATCCCGAGTGTATCGAAATCCCGACTATGTCAAAATCCCGACTACCATAATCCCGACAATCATATTTTTCAGTATCCGTTGTACCTATTAAAATATAGTAGAATAATATAAAATGTTATTGTAGAAATTATAATAATAATAAAAGACACTGTCGAGATTTCGATTGTCGGGTTTATGGTAGTCGGGATTTCGATATATTCGGGATTTCGATACAGTCGGGATTATGGTAGTCGGGATTTCGATACACTCGATATTTCGAACGTCGGGCTTTCAATAGACGGTCTTTCGGTTGCCGGGCTTTCGATATTGACCCATCCCCGATTCATCACCGCCGTAAGCAGATCTTTCCAATTGGTCTGCCGTCGGACGTGCGCCTTAGTCCATAGAAATATTAGCTGAATCCGTCTCCCTGATACTGTTTAACCAGCTCAACGTGTTAGAGCTCCGTGAGGACCTCGGTACGCCGGAGTGCCACCAAGGTTGCTCTGCTGTCAGACAGCAGATCTTCCAGAACTTCCTTAATAGCGAGCAATTCTGCCTGTAAAGAAGTCGGCCAGTTTTAGTCTTTGATGGTGAACCTCTGTGCCACAACTGTAATACAACGCCCGCCCCTATCACATTTCGATCCATCTGTGCAATTTTCAGTGTCATAACAACGTTTTATTTATTTGATATTATGGTATAAAAATTTGGTGCCTCCCCTGGCAATAGTCCGCGCCTCCCAGGTTAGAAACCGCTGGCTTAACTCCCTATTTTCTAAGAAACACTCGAGCTTCTTTTATGAAGAAAGACGTAGTAGACGCGTGACTAGAAGAGGGAATCACAACTAAATTGCGCCTAGTGTTCATATTATAATTATTATATTATTTAAGACTTTATATATTTCCGTTGTTTTTGTAAATGTGGACTCATAGGGGCTTTTAAAACAAATTATAGTAATACCTTGTATAGTGCGGTTTTGACAATATGCTCTTTGAAACCGCAATAATTTAGTACAGTGAAACTTAACTGAATATAAAGAGAAACTGATTATTTATGTAATCATTTTTTAGATTTCTTCTCAATTAAAATTTAGTTTGATTTGAAAATTTCAAATCGTACAATAGTGAAATCGCACTGATCGAAGCCGCACTATCTAAGGTATTGTTGTGTATTAATACTTATAATGATTTTTTTCCATTCGAACTGTCTTTAAGTACGTATTATGTTGGAAAAAGGAGTTTCTATTGTAGTAATACAATTATAATATAGAGAAATAATTATAAAATTTTAGTTTCATTAATCTAATAAATTAATGCAATGCAATTTAATGTATTCTTGATGAAAACTAAATTTGATAAAAATACTTTGGGTGTAATTTGAGTACAGAAAACACAGACATGTCTAGGAAACACACACAATCAATGAAATAATGAATGAAACTTAGTAATAAAAGAGTAAAAAAAAGTTGTGTAAAAACATCTGTTGAGAGCAGTGATTCCCAACCAATATAGTGCTATGTCCCGCCAAAGTCTATCTAAAATTCTTATGTCCTCTATGTAACATATACATAATACGTCATGCGGTTAAACTTTAGATGTGTCCATTGGGGCCCACGTTGAGAAACACTGCTCTAGAGTATATACGATAAGAAACATTAATTTATTCCAAATATAACAAAAAAAAGTCACATATTATTTGAATGTCTCGACAATTTATGTTTTTATAGTTTTTCTTTTAAATCATTTTTTACTCAAATTGCATAACGTGGATTTATAAGTCATTTGTCAAGTATAGGTTAAGTGTGTAAGTAAATTATTTATTCCAACTAGTAAATATATTATAAAATCTCTCTAATATATTATGCTTTTAAGATTTTCTTCTCGTGAAATTACATTTTAGTATATTTCGTAACGCAAAAAAGGAAAACCCACAGAAATAATGTAAATCCATAGATTACAATAATAACCCTTGAATTTTCTATTTAAATGTTTGCATTTAATTTATATTTCTTCCTAAAAAAAGTGATTATTAGTTAATATAGTGAAATGAATTAGAATGAAACGAACTTAATAATTAGATTCGAATGTGTTGAGAGTCCGCCATTTCTGTACGATTTCAACATGGAGGGGATTCCAAGCAGTGTTAAAAGTAGCATATAAGAATATGCTTCACAGTGACTAACCAGAATTGACTTGACGTAGTCGTCACGAGACAATTTCTCAGACGCCAGCAAGATGTCACTAAATAGAATAATGTCCGATGAAAAAAAGATGCGCCACCATTATCTAGAAACACCGAAAGATGGTAAGTCTTGAAAAAAATAAAACAATTGTGAAGACCGTTTTCCAATCGTTTTACAGATAAGCATTACATAGTCTTCAATCTGCCAGATTGCGATCTCCTAGGAAATAATTACAAAAGAAAAGCGGATGAAGATTCGTTTTTCTTCGAACTTCTCTGCGAATACCGGCAACGCGAGATCTTCAACCTGCGAAAGGACCTCGAAGTCGGCTTCTCCTCCCCGACACCAGATACGCCGATATCGGATAGAGGCTCAAAACGTAAAACGCAGCCTCCAATCAAATGATCGTGTATCTTCTTAAACCTTATGTATTCATCAGTATCGGTTTTCGCGAAAATTAAGACTCTCGGATACCTGGAGAAGGAATGGGATTCGCAGCAATACATCTCGAAGTACGGGTCCTCGAAGAAGATGACTAGAAGAATCTTCAGGTTCAATCCGGCTGTGACTCCACCGCATCGACAAATCCGTTGGCCAAAATAATTAGTCACATCAACGTTAGAATCAATTATTCGTACATTTCTTATTTTTGTTGCAGTTTTTTTTATGTTTGAAACATGTAAAAAGGTGTATTTTTGCTTCGTAGATTTATTTTTTTCTTCAAATGTTGAACTTCAAATTAAAACTAGTTATAATAAAAAAAATATGTTTTCACTTTATATTTATTCATTTTATTGAATTTAGATATATAAATTTCCTACAAATTTTAACACAATTCAAATTAAATTATTTGCCTCAACAAATAATACGATTAGTTTATGAATTTCTTAGAGTATCTCATATAATTGGAATATTAAAAATACAATGTATAAAAAAATATAATAACACCAAAGTACTATTTAAGTACACATTCAAAACATTTATCTTTAAAACTTCACTTCGTTAAATTTAAATTGATATAATTTTGATTAATAATTTATTTGTCTTAAAACTAGACTTTCAAATCCATTTTGATGAAAAACTTTTGTTAATTATTATATGAAATAATAAAATTTGAAGATTAATTTCTTTAATTGTCAATATTTTTTCAAAGAAATTTAAGGTTAATCGAGATATTAAATTTTAATATTTAGATTTTATAATAATATTACTCTATAACTATTATTGTTACATATAACATTCATTATAATCTCAATAGAATATATTTTAAAATAAATGTCCAGAGATTTTCATAAATTTATACATATGTGTTATATGTGTTTCCTACATGTATATGTAAAAAATAAGTTAATGTTGGTTAATTGGAAGTTAAATATTAATAAAAAAACATTGGGTTCTTTGAAGTAATTGCATTAAATTGTATTAAATTTAATAATTAGTTTCTCAAATACATTATTTGACATAAATATGCAATATTCAACTATGTCCAACTCATCAAAGTTTATGATTTAAATAAAGTATTTTTTAATAGTTTGCACCAATATTACGCAATATAACTAAATTTATATATTTTTATCTACGTTTATAGATTTTTTTCTTAAGTTAAGACAACGGTTATCAAACTGTGAAGGGGTGCGATTTGTTGACATAATTTTTATAAATTTAAAATATAATTAAAACGAAAGTAAGAAAATAAAACATATCCAGGACTATTACGAATATGTCTAAGTAGGAGAGATTCATTAATAATAACCTGTAGAATTCTTCAGCATGCTTATGACCTTACTTGGTCAAGAATATCACCATTTCATATGAGCCCAGCTCTTGTGGACAACATTTGTAACTTAGAACTTCTGAAAAACATTTGTAATTCTGTACAACTCGATAACAGTTGCTCTTTTCTATAAATTTGTAAAATAAGTCTTCAAATGTGATAAAACGTGATAAAACAAATGACATGGAAATCATTTGTTGCTTCATTAAGTTGTATGGAAATAATTTTCAAACTAATTCAGATTCAAGCTTTTAATGAATATCCACAGATATTGCTTAGCATAGCTTTTATTCCAACACAATCTTTCTACTGTAAGTTTACGCTGATAATAACATCGTTTGTAATTCTGTACAACTCGATAACAGTTGCTTTTTCTATAAGTTCAAAAAAGAACAAGTCTTCCAGTAGTAACCTGACAGAATGTGCTATAGCAAATCAAATGGAAATCATTTCTTGCTTCATCAAATTGTATGGAAATAATTTTCCAACTAATTCAGGTTCAAGCTTTTGATGAATATCCACAGATATTCTCCAGCATAATGTATCGTATAACATTGGAGTATTCTTACGTTGTTTAGCATAACTTTTACCAAACATTTTTTCTGCAATGTCTATAGCAGCTGGTAGAATAAAATGCTCTGCAATAGTATATGTCGTTTTCATTTGGATATCTCAAGTCCCGAGAATTCCCGGGAATACCTTAAACAATCTTGTGTCTTGGGAATGAAATAAATGTCGAAATTGAGCAACCTTAGTGAAAACCATATGGATGAAGAAAAATACAATGATGATTTCTGATCAATGTCCTTTATATAATTAACTATTAACTAAGTAACTAAAAAACAATATTTATTCCCAGAACTGAGCGATTTTGATGGTTCAAATTCCAACACAATCTTTCCACTGCAAGTTTGCGCTGACAATAGCATCATTTATAATTCTGAACAACTCGTACAACAGTTGCTCTTTTTTATAAGGTTGCAAAATAGCAAGTCTTCAACTATTGTAGCACTCTGACAGAAAGCGATTTGGAAAATCAAATAGAAATTGTTTGTTGCTTCATCAAGTTGCATGGAAATAATTTTCCAACTAATTCAGATTCAAGCTGTTGCTGAATATCCACGTTTTTTGATTAGCATAGCTATCACCAAACATGTTTCTGCAATGTCTATAGCAGCTGGTAGAATAAGTTGCTCTTTTGAAACAAATAACAAACTGAGGTTTTTTTTCTTCAGCACTTATATTAGTGCTCGATGTAGAAGTACGTTTGATCATATTTTAAATTCTCGTATATTGAGTGACTCTCATCTACCATTTTATCTTGTATATTATAAAAGGAGCGCAAGATTATTCAAGTAGAAAATGGGGACTGCAAAATACGAAAGATTGAGAACCGCTACGTTAAGAAATATTGTTCAATAATTTTTAAAAAGTTCGTAAAATAACTATATTTTTAATTTGAACTAATATTGCGAAAAATAATTTAAATATTGTTAAAAATAACTGTTGTTTTATTGCCATAAATAAGCAACATTAGTATATAAAAAAAAACACTGAGCTTCTGAAATGAAACTATATGTACATTTATATGTCATTGATGAATTTCCAATTGTATGTTTTTGTTAAAAATAAGTAATTTGCTGTGTGAACACGTTTGTCCGTATCTTTAGAAAGACCTTCTGCCTCTGAAGGGGGTTTATCGCTAGAATGAGGGTAAAATACCTCTTGGGAAGTAACGGCCGTTTTGAAGCCGTCCTCGTGCGTACTTAAGCAAACCTTGAATCCACGATTCATTAGCGGCTTTGACGATTGCGCCTCTGTAGCAACAGTATCCTTCGTATTGTCCTTTATCATATTGCAGAAAGGTGTTACATGTTTAGACCATGGAGCATACTCAACAACGTTTGGAGGGTCACTGTAGAGGATCTTGGACACTTCTTCTATTTCCCTCTCAATAGCATCTGTTCGAGTTAAATTATCAACTTCAGCTGAAAAAGATCAATCAATGAACAAAAAAATTAAAACAAAAACAAAAAATAGTTACAACTCTCAATATCGTCAGGAAGCAATAATAATCTTTTGAGTGCAAAATATCTATCCAGCGGATTCTGTAACTCCTTCCGTTCGGATGTAAGTATCTCTGGCGGTCCAAAGAATTCTTTATAAATCATCTTATTGAACTCATTGTTGTTATAGATGAAAAAGTTTTCTAAATCCATTATTAAAAAACTGAAAAAATCATTAATAATAATTTTCACTATTTTTTTTTACTTACGTTAGTTTTATTAAAAACTTAAATATTAAAAAGTGAAGACGAAAGTGTCGATTGGTAATGATTAAATATCTTCTGATAAAAAAAGGGTTGAGTTTAAATAGCGTCGCTTGACGAAAGTTTGGAGTAGGAAAAACTTTCTTTTTTTCTGAAAAATTCAATATCTTGCATTGCACGGTTTCACTATAAAAAAAACAAAACAAAAAAAATTAATTAAACAAAATACAAATAAGTGTTTAAAAGTTAGTACACAAAATTATTGTCGATTTTTCCTTTGGAAATCAAATTAGATTTCTTCCAGTTTTACTGAAAATAGTTCATCATAAAAAGTATAAATTTTTTAAATAAATAATTACTATACACCTATCCCTCGTTTTATACATTTTCGCTTATACACGATTTAAAGAGGAGACTAATTTTGAAACGTACTGTAGTTTTATTTACAAGTTTTCACTTTTACACAGTTTAAAACAAATTAAATTTAAAATAAATGTTGAAAATAAAATGGCTATGATCATCAACCCTTGAAATATTTTTATTTTAAATCTTTTAGATTTTATTTTTGTATTTTGTATTTAATAAAAGAATGAATATATTTTTTTGCCTTTCAATATTCTTGTTGGATTTATGTACCTTAAAATAATTGGAAAAAAAATCACAATTACACAATAAAAAATAAAATTATGCATACTTTTCGATTTTCACGGTTTCATATTCAAAAAGTTATAATTTAGATTTACGACTCATGTCTTTCTCAGGAATCTATCTATCGTGAGGAATTATTGTCCATAATTGAAGTCTAATGACCGAAGTCTTCTTAATTATAACTATTAATCCTACTTAGAATAAGAGCAATAAGTCCAATTCTTATGTAAAAAATCATTATATTGAATGTTTTAGAGAAAATTGTTAATAACACTAACTTTCAAAGAAATAATTCAATTTTAGAGAAGTAAATTTAAAATTTATGTATATTAATTCACCAAAATATACATAATTAAAAATATGCGAAAATTGTTATTGTCTTGCTATATAAAATAATCATTATATAATTATCTGTTTTTGAGAAAAATGTCTAACAAAGGCAGAATTTTGTAAATAAATACTAAACTTCTATATTTAAAATCATATTAACGCATTTGCTTCTTTTTTTTAATGCTTCATGAACATTTATCGAGTAGTACGTTTATAATATAATATTGAAACCAATTTTATCAAAACATAAAGTCATTTAATGAGCAAATTTTAAAGAAAATCGTTTCTTTATCAAACTAAAACAAAAAACGGTAATAATTACAAAATACTATTTACTTAACTGTCATTTCTCTTTTTTGTTACAATTTTACAACTAAATTTTCATAATATCCCAGGAATTTGGTGATTACTTTTCCGTGTACCTAAAACAAAAAAAAGTAATCCTCTAAATCTCATAGGATTATTTCCATAATTAGTTTTTAACTTTAGCTTTTCTATTCATATTGTCATAAATATATATTTTTAATGAGTTAATCTGACAAATTTAATTACGTTTATATAGGATTTGGAATAATTGATTTTAAGTTATGAACATCTAACAATTAAATGAACATTTTTAATATTCTTGAGTAATTTACTTATAAGATGGATTTAAAGAAATTTTGATTTTGGATAAGCCACATCAGGTGATTAGAAAGTATTATGAAAAAAATCTTTATTATTACATAATTGTTTTTAAAGTTAATTAAAATACTAGAATTACTATATTTTAGTATAAAACAAATTAGAACAATTGTAATTCACTTTACTAAATATATTACATGTATGTTTATAATAACATTTATTTAATAATTCAATTTATTCATATATTATTAATAATATAATCGAAACTTTCTGCAGGTTCGCGATTTAAAACAGAGAATTTCAACTGAAAATTGAATACGTATGTGAAATACCTGTTCAGATCATTTTTTCCCCTTATCGTAGTTTTCTTCCATTCACGAATCTTCGAATGTATTCAATGTGGTTATTCGTCAAATTTGACAACTTGTATGTTTATCTGAAGACGAAAAAGAAAAGAAAAAATATGTATATTTTTGAAAACGTTTGAAAAAGATTAAATTTAAAAACGCGAACAAACTTGGATTAAATTTCGGTTCCATGTTGATGATTAGTGTGATTTGTACTGTGTTGTTCTCTAAGTGTCACTCTCGCTATAAATACAAATATAATTAATGTTTAAAATTAACATTTTTATAAATAAAATTATATAATTGAATTGAATTCAATTCAATTCAAAATCTTATGTTTTAGATATAAGATTTTTTACCTTTGTTTTCTATAAATTTTCTTCACAGATTTAAATCTATAATACATACATTAAATATAACAATTAATACTTGATTAATTGTATTTATAGTGCATCAAACTTGAATTTGTATTCCGAAGTATTCTAGTGAAGATTATATAGACAGAAGGTACGAGTATATAAAAAAATCAATTATAATTTAGTTTCACCATTGTTTTTAAGTGTAACACAAGCATATTTTCTAATCAAAATTAAAAAAGAAATCATGTTTTTTTTCTTATTCCCGGGAAATTTAAATTTTGATATAAAATTTTAATAAATTTGGAGAAAAAAAATCAATAGATTTTATAGTAAAATACATATTTTTATCCCGGAAATAATATTTATATACAAAATAAAGAGAAAAGAAAACATTAAACGAATTATTTTTGTTTGTTCTTGTGAAATTTAAATTTTGTGTTAAAATTTTAAGAAATTTGTGAAATAATCTAAATACATACATATTGACCGCAATATTTTCATCGTGGAAATAATATTTACATACAAAATTAAGAGAGAAGAAAACAACATTAAACGTATTATTTTTTTTGTTCTTGTGAAATTTAAATTTTGTGTTAAAATTTTAAGAAATTTGTAAAAAAAAAAGTTAAATAAATTACATAAAAACATATTGACTGCAGTATTTTCATTCTGAAAATAATATATATATTTATATAGTAGAAGAAAAAGGCGTTAAAATTTTAATAAATTTGAGAAACAAAAATTAAATAAATAAATTAAATTCTATAATATACTAAAATATAGATAATTAAAAATATTAATTATAAACGACTTCGTGAAAGTGACTTAGACAAGAGTACAATTCACACATTTCATCACTATGGCAGAAGAATTCAATCCAAGTAAGTGCATGCTCTTAAAAATCCTAACATTTTCTAACGTATTTGCTCATTTTCTGTTTTAGAAATCAACTTTGATGCCAACGTCGGACTTACTTCATTCGAGTACGCTACTTGGAAACCAAATTTTAAGCCACTGGAGCACCAGGTTGGATATATGCAAAGACTCGTGCATAATGATAATAGGAAACACAAAATGAACGAAAATTTTGAAGAAGAAAAGAATGATATAGACACGTATCTTACGTATGACCTTGATTTTCTTCTAGACAAATTTTTCAATGGTTTAGATACCACATCTGAGATAGAACAAACTTGTTCAAATTACGAACCATCGGAAAATAGTGATTCCACAGACTCGGACGTTATGAGTTTCTGGGAGTCGTTGCCGATCTCAGATATAGACATTGAGAGAAGTTCTAAACGGATAATCAATATGAAGGAAATATTTTGTTCTAAGAGTGACGATTTGGAAAGTAGCATATCGCCAAGTATTTCAAATGATATTACGGATAGCGATGAAGATGATGGCATCGATTGGAGTCATTTATTCAAGTATGATATGCAGTTCGCAAAATTAAAATACGAAATTATGCAGATGTGACGGATTAATATGTTGATTTTATAAATAATTTGTATTGTATGAATTAATGGTAATATTTAATTAATATTTGTGTATCCTTGTTTTTCAATTTTAATAAATATTAAATAAATTACGACAACTTAATTGACGAATATTTCGAAAATAATTTAAAACTGAACTTTGGGTACAAGTTCTTCAAAGCATAATTTATATTTGTCCGAGCATAATTTACCTTTCCGAAGAAATTTTGATACTTTATTCACACCTTTCAATTGTATTTTTTTTTTTGAATTAATTGAATTAATTGCAAAATTTGTCCGACTACCATAATTTGTCGTATTAAATTAAAAATGAATTTATAAGTGAATTGTCAACATTGTTAGCAATGTTTTACAATGATAATAGATTTCAATTATATGAAAATCATGAAAATAGGTGTGTTTTTTTATATAGAATGAAATGGAAAATATTGATGAGCAACATTTATACAAATATCGTCAAAATTTCTATTTAGAATAGTATTTCTTGCTACTTTATATTAACTTGTTATAAATTCATTTATATAATGTACATTTTTTTAAAATTATTTCTTTCAAAATAATTAAAATTATTGGACTAAAGAACTCAATTTATTAACTATTGTATATTTCTGTCCTGGAAAATAGTTAAATAAACTGTAATTTTTTCATTGTATATTTTTATATAATAAATAAACAAATAAGAAACACATCTGTTTTTTTGTCAATTTATCTTTGCATTCTATTCCAAGTAACATATCTTTGGAGCAAAAGTTAAGATACTCAATATACATCAAAATATACATAGAAAGCGATATTTTGGCACTGGAAATATTCTTTATGAAGAGAGATCAATCAAAGTATAATAAAACAAAACAAAAAAAAAACAGTATTTTGAAGTGCTTCTTTGATTAACGTATAGTGATGAAAACGAAGCTTCAAAAAGTAAATCATTTGATTGCCACAAATATTGAAAAGAAGTAACACATGTTGTTTTTGTGAATTTTTATTTTAACAAACATATCTTTGGAGGAAAAGTTAAGGAAAGTGTAATAGTTATTAAAGGATATTTCGGCACTGAAAATATAATTTATGAAGAGAGATGAAATTATTTGTTCAACGCTGTTTCATTAAGTGCTTTCCATACTATATACGCATCCTGTTTTTTACCTACAAAACCAATAGAAATTTAATGTCAATTTTAAGCTCAATTGAAATTTTCCTTATTTATTAAAAGTGTTAGTTAATATTTAAATAAAATTTGAACAAAATATTAATGTATAAAATAAATGTTTATTAAAATCGAAATATATATTAAAGGTTTTGTAAAGGTTTCATCCTTTAACTTAAGTGAATTAATAAATTACTATATTGTTTTTGTAGTAATACTCAATGAATTTGTCAAATCGACGAATACATCATTTTCATCTTCGCTATTCTTATCATCAAATGAGACACTTTAGAATTAGTTACTCAAATCAATAAACATTTTTTCAGTAATGTTTTTGTTCCCATTCGAACTTCCCTCACTGTCTTCAACTGATATTGACAGCCACTCACAGAAACTCATATTTTTTGAGATTGTAGGTTTTCGATATGAACAAATTACAGTTTTAACTGAGCTCTAGTATCTAAACTATTTAGAAATTTAGCTTCAAGAATATCAAAATCGTACGTAAGATCAATCTATTCTAGTTAACATTTTTTGTTCATTTCGTGTTTCCTGTTATCATCATGCATACGTTTTTGCATGTATTTTAGCAATAAAATTACTTGGATTCAATTTAGATTTCATTGTAATGGTGAGTGTATTTCCAGGTAATGTGAAAACCATCAATAAAAATAGTATTTACACAAAAATGTAAAATGGATCATCATTTTACATGTAAAAAATAAAATTTAATTACCTTGCAATAAGTTCTTAGATATGATCTAATATATGATTATCCAAAATAATAGCTAAAAACTTGTAGTCTATAAATGCATTAAGAAATGTAAAAATTGTATGTTTATTATAATAAAAATATATTATAGATACAATAATTGAATGAATAATATTTATAACATTTAATACAAACTAATACGTCACATCACTACAATTTAATTGATTTGTTCTAATGGTAACAAATATTGTAGGAGCTAAAACAAATATGTACAAATGTAAAATTACTTTTTGAAAGTCTATAAAATAACATGCATATCTTAATATTAATTTGTAAATATTTCGAGCTGAATCTTCAATATTATAACAGCAACATAAATTAACATAAAAGTAAAATTATAAAATTACGATTTTTCCTTCACTCTGCATTTCTATAAAACATGATATTATGTATAAAATAAAAGACCTAAACTCAGTAAAATTTAAATAAAAACTATGTGAAGCGAAACTGAAGTTTCTTGGTCAAAAATAAAATATGTGTTAATGTAAAATATATCGACTTATTTCGGATAGCGTGCTTTTGGCATACTCTGCCTATTTTTTGTATTAACACGTCTGCCGGTATCATTGGGAACAACGTGGGTATGTGAAGAGTTGGGAAAAGCATAATACACCTTCTTGGAGGTGACAGCTCTATTGTTATCGGCAACATGAGTGCTTAATTGAATATTGAATCCAGGTCTCTTGTTTTTCTGCGAATATTGCCTCTCTCTATCCTTTTTCTCCTTCTCATATATTTTATTAGGCTTATTACTCTTGGACCATGGAGGAAATTCATCTTTTGGTGGGCCTCTGCGGAGGATCTCTGATACTTTATCCATTTCCTCTTGGATAGCTCTTTTCCGTTTTATTTTGACGCTTGCAGCTGGAACAGGAACGGCAATAGAAAAAAATGTTACAAAATCGAGACAAAAGAAGAAAACACTTACGGCTTGCTGGATCGCCGGTAAAAACCAAGAGGTTTTTCAGTGCAAAATATCTATCCAGCGGATTCTGTTTTTCCTTTGGTTGGGTTGCTCTCATCCCCGGCGGTCCATAGAATTCGTTATAAATCATATTTTCGAACTCTTTGCTAGTGTCGACGAATTCGCTGTTAGAGTCCTCAAGAGCTACACCTATTAAAAATACTATTTGTTATATGATTGGGAAGGTTTTAAGGACATTTTTTTTTACTTACAGAGAAATTCCTATTGTTATTAATTTTTTGAAATACACTATTGAAATTATCTGCGGACAAAGTAGAAATCTTGTCAATTATAAAATATTGGACTTTCAGTTAGGAATGTTTAGAGTAGAGGTAAATCCACTTAGTAACTTTAGTTTTCTTTTATATTTGTATTTTTATTTTTTTCAAGAGAAAAATAAAATTGCCAATTTGGAAACTTATCCCTTATTCCTACACTTGAAGATTAACCCAAAATTTATGATACCAATAAATCATACCTTACGTGGTTGGTCTATTTGGACCATTTGAGGGTAGATTTGTTCATTTCCAACAAAGGAATGTTGTACCATATGTTGATAGAAACCGTGCATTCCATAATTGTTAATAGGAAAACTTACTGGATACATAATTCTTCTCGATGTAACCTCCAAAAAATAAAATACTTAAAACAAACTAAAATACATTAGTTTTAACAAAATAAAAAAATATATGTATATTAAATATTTCGTATATTTAATTATTGGCGAAAAACATCGTATTTTTCTTAAACTGTTATTTGTACAAAAATGTACAAAAATATTTACAAACTACAGTTAATAAAGTCTATATCAACTATAGTTGTCCCTAGCTAGGATGGTTCGACCTTGGAAAAACAATAACCTGACTTGACTGTTTTGTTGTATGCAAAAAATGAAGAACTGCAAAAAAAAAATATTTAAAAAATAATTGAAGTGACTGGTGAAATAGTTTCAATAAATCAAATCGAATGAATGGAAGAAAAATAAACGATTTTATTTTTAAAACTAGACAGTGTCAGTCCTTTAATGTGAAACTTAAAATATTATTAATTTGGGAGAAAGGTCCAGCTTAAAATACAAAATTATTTAAAAAAAATATCATTCAATTTTCATACATTTATAGATTATAGTTTAATAGCTATAAAAAATCGTTTTTCAAGAAAAATAAATGTTATTATCAATTTTCTTTAACAATTTGCAAAAATATTTCTCTCCAATTAGTTATAATTTTTCATATTAAGTAACACATTTTGCTAGAAACTATTGAATTTATTTATATAACAATAATTTGTACCGCTTAATTTTCTATTTAAATACTTAAAGCAGCATCTTTAAAACAAGAGGAATAAAGGTTAAATTAAAAAATGAGGTATTTGTTTTCTTCTCTTTTCTTCTCTTTTCTTTTTTTTTGTATTTTATTTTTTTAACACTTAATATATTAAAAAACTTATACATTATAAGACAATTAAAACTAAAGTATATGTACATCAGAAGAAATTGTGAAAAAATTAGATTAGTTTGTTGAAGAAAAGCTAAATAATAACAAATATTTACATTTTTTGTACAAATTTGGGAAAGTCGAAGACTTATCGTGAATTGTATGCTTCCGGAAAACTTTCTTCATTTGAAATTTCCATAGAAATATCAGTATGTGTAGAAACACCTTTGCCTTTTGAAGTGGCTATCATAATTTAAGGGTGAAATATCCTCTTTGATATTAACAGATCTGTCGTCATCAAACAAGTTAAACAGATTCTCACCTATCCCGTTGGCCTGGCTCTTGGTGACTTCGTGGCTTTTGGCTTTTTAATGGTGGCATTTACGTACTTATTTACTTCACAAAATAATTGTAAACAGTTGGACGGAGAACTTTCCTCTGCTCTGGATGGGCCATTGCAGAGGGACCTTGTGATTTTTTCTATCTCATTTCTAATATCACGCCTCAAAAGATAACTGAGCAATGGAACTGAAAATATTACATTATTCGAAGATTGTCCTGACGTCGCTAAGATTTTACTTACGAGTTTATTTTCTGTCGGGTAAAAGTAAGGCCATTTTTAATTCATTATATCTGTCTACCAGACACTCTGTATGCTCGGGTGAGAAAGTGTAGGTGTCCGTGAAGGTATAGTCACCAAAATCAGTGTCTCGGATAAAATCACCATTGAAGATGAAGTCCTCAACACATGCTATATACAAAACACATAATATTAATTAATTTTTTGTACAAATTTGGGAAAGTCGGAGACTTATCGTGAATTGGATCTTCCGGAAAATATTCTTCACTTGTAATTTCTATAGAAATATTAGTATGTATAGAAACAACTTCGGCTCCTGAAGTGGCTTCATCATAAACCATTTCCGGTGCACTGGCTCTTGGTGTCTTCGTGGCTTTTGGCTTTTTAATGGTGGCATTTACGTACTTATTTACTTTACAAAATAATTGTACACAGTTGGACGAAGAACTTTCCTCTGCTCTGGATGGGCCATTGCAGAGGGACCTTGTGATTATTTCTATTTCAATTCTAATATCACGCATCAAAAGATAACTGAGCAATGGAACTAAAAATATTATATTATTCGAAGATTGTCCTGTCGTCGCTAAGATTTTACTTAGATATTAACAGATCTGTCGTCATCAAACAAGTTAAACAGATTCTCACCTATCCCGTTGGCCTGGCTCTTGGAGACTTCGTGGCTTTTGGCTCTTTAATGGTGGCATTTACGTACTTATTTACTTCACAAAATAATTGTATACAGTTGGACGGAGAACTTTCCTC